CAACTACAACAACTACAGCCCAAATAACCGCAACTACAGCTCCAACTACAACAACTACAGCTCCAACCACAACGCCTCCAGCTCCAACTACAACACCCCCAACTACAACACCTCCAGCCCCCACCACATTAACTACAGGTTTAACCACATCCCCAGGTAACTGACCTTAAATTGTCATGACCTCATATTATATATTATCACAGTGTGGTTAAAATAGATTAGAATCTAAAACATAATACAGTGGTAATTTATTTTTTCAATTTATTTTCAATTAGTGGACATAAGCACCAAATTGTTAAAATAACATTCAGGCAATATCCCAGAGAGATTCCTGGTGTGATCTGCAGGATCCTCAAAGAAAGTGTGTCAAAGCGTCAAACTCAATTTTATTTCTTCGTTCACAACTTTTAAACAGTCAATGTAGCCATAAAGCACGACTGTAGTATTGTTGTTGAGCATTTAACACTACATAAAATGTCATCTGCATTTATATAATTTGTTTGAGAATATTTAAACACACTTAATTGACGAGACCTACTTTAATTTCGTGGTCAAAGACTTTTAGTGATGATGTCTCAGTATTACTCTTCATAATACTCTATTCACAAGGATTTTAACATTGAATTTCACAAAGTACTTTTTTTTATTCATTTTTGTTTGAATCAATTTCCAAATGTTAAGCGCTGTCAATCCCTGCAGGCCCGACAGCAGTAGCATATCTTCAAATGAAGATCTCCTTGTCTGGTGAGGTCAGCAATTCCACCATCGTTGAGCTTGTCAGTCAGGTATGTAAAACAGAAATGTTAAAAAGCTCTTCCGTTAAATCTCTTCACTCGATATGATCCGCGATAATGCATGCACACCGTACAAATGGAGGGAGTGAAGGAGATTGATCTTCTGATGTTGACTCTGTGTTTTTCTCTCCATGTAGTTCATTAAAAACCAGCTCCTGAATGGCACCGCCCACACAGTGAACGTGAAAACCATTCAAAGGGTCAGAGTTGCCCCATAGAAGCTCATCATTTAAATGGGCAATTCATCATAATGATTTCATTATATCTGGAGAAACATATTTGAGTTTTGTGACAGATAGCTAAACACACGAAATGCCATTGTGCTCCACTGTGCTGCAAAGATCTACAGCGTCTATTTCCAACCCACCAGAAGAAGCTGGATTGTGCTCAAGGTGTAAGAGAAGGTGTTTTGGGGGAAATGCAGAAGCTTGGAAGTCCCCTCATGGACCTCTTATTTTGTGAAGTAGCGTGTAAATTATTTGCAGCACAGCACAGTTGATTTTATTTCCCAGGATTGTAAATAATAGAGAAGTGCATCTGACTCAAGTGTCAAGTTATTTGCACAGTAAGCTGGGAATCTCAAACCAAGAAATCTGATCCGTTGAGGTGTTTTTTTTATAACAATGTGTCGGTAATTCCCATGCTTTGTTACTGGAGCAGTAGCTATGCTGCCCTTCAATGTAACCAGGAAACTCCTGAACAGTTTCTCGCTCACTCCTCCCTTTCAATTCTCATAAATGTGAAAATGATTCACCACAAACAAAAATAACCTTGGTGAGCGCCTGGCGAGTTATTTAGGAACGTTGTCAGTATTACTGGCAACATGCACTGTCACGTCCAATGAATGTAAACTTCTTTTGTCTTGCCATTAAAAGAATTATTTACAACTCGTCTTTCCAGTTCACCAGAGGAACAGCATGCGAAAGCACTGCTTGATAGTCAAGTGGTGCTTTCACATACTTTTTGAAGGTGATTAAGTTTCTGTGAGCAGATAATTCTTTCTGCTCCATGGGCTCGATTATGTTGTGTTTGTGTGATTAAACCATTGGTGACGTTGAACTTTAATCTGTATTTATGAATTGGACACATGGCTCCAGCCCCCCCCCAACCCTCAAAGGATAAGCGATATAATGAATGTGTAAATATAGACAATTATTTAGCATAGAGACACTTTATTTCTCGAGCAGTTACACTGTTTTTATGTTGCACCATTTCCTTTTGAAAAAGATTAATAAAGAGACATTTGCTTTAAAAGTAAATTCATTGTATTCTTTAATTTAATAAAGCATTTTTTAAAAGAAACTTTGTGCAGCATTCGTTTTTTTTAAAGCACACAGAAGTATATACAATCTGTCGAGATCGCCGATTAAACATGTTTTGAAAAAATATAACAGAGTGTAAATGTTGCTTGTATAACGATTGGATTAGGTATTCTGTTAAGAGGCCTGAAATATCTGTATGAAAATATGTACAAACTGGAGGTACATGAATTTAGGATAGTTTCTTTGAATAACTATTAAAAGTTTAAAAGAAAACGTAGCTGACGAACTTGTCCTGTGGAATTCATTTACGACGACTGCAGTTGTGCGTGCATCGTACAATATGGCACAATGCATTCTACCTCATCTGTCATCTACTTCCTTAATGGTCACAATTGTAGTCTCCTGTACAAAACAACAGACGTTTCCATGTTGATGTTTCCATGATGCAAAAGAAATGACACAGCTGCTCTTATACAATCGACTCTGAATGAATGAGGCTTAAAAAAAAAAAAACTGGGCTCAGCTTTGTCGTCAGGTGACAGGAGTTCAAGTGACTAAAGCAACTAACTGCACACAGACCGCCACTTATACCCCTCGCTGTGATGCAGCGTTCGCCTCAGGCTCAAACCTCTGAGCGCCACAAGGTCAGTTTCAGCAGGACACGATGTTTTCAGGAGAGCTTCCAGTTCCTAAACTTGTCATCAATTCTGTGCAGATGTCCACTCCGTCTCTCTGCAGACGTGTGAAGCCCAGGGCCTCGTGCACGGCTCTGCTCAGCAGCGCCAACAGAACCGCAGGCCCCGCCACGGCCCTCGGCAGGAAGAGCTCCAGAGCGCAGGTGGAGGCGTGGGGGAGACCATCCTGGAAAAAGGAATTCAAAGCAAAAGAAATGTGACATGAAGACTGATCTTGACACTGAAGAAAAGAAGTATAAATCATAACGAGCAGCCCGAAGTTGCCAGGATGTCGTTCTCAAGACGAACAGTTCAGATGCGTCGTCTTTAAAAAGCCACACAGTCTGAATGAATCACACGTTGACCTCTGTCAGGGAGGTTATGTCCAGATCTGGAACGTTTAGGGGCCTGATATGTACGAATGTGTTTAATCTGGTGCCGATCCAATTAAATATCCAGATCTAGTGAATTTACATGTGGTTTCATTAGTGGACAGTTGGGCCTTGGTGGAGGAATGCACCATATCTAGTTCAGGATTACACACATTTATTTTGGATTTCCAAAGTTTGAACTTTGCCCAAGAAATGAATTAAACATAAACAGATGCAGAGAAATGGACAGATCCAGGACTTTTGTTCTTACTGGTAAAACAAATAAATAAATCAGTTATTTATAGATATATATATATATATATTTATGGAACAGGTATCTATGAGTGTGCAGTTTTGTGTGGCTTGAATGAATTTGAAGCGACCATCAGGCCTTGGTGGAAGTATGTGTTCTACTGAGATCTATTCCAGTATCAGCTGAGAATACTTTGTGGACAATGTTCTCAGTCGAGCGTCATATCACCAAGTCTCACTCAGATCTGACGAGGACCTACCTGGGAGTAGAAATGCAGAGAGATCAACCTGGGGAACCCAAGAGGAGGCAGGTGATCCGCTCCGGTGATGAAGACCAGGACGTCCTCAAAGGAAACATCTGCCTGATCATCTGATGATGCACATGAAGGAATTATCTGAATAAAACGCTCCGTCAGCTCAACCTCAACACTTCAAATCCTTACTTCCATCCATCCGTCTGTGCTTACCGCTAATGACGGTGAGGACCGTTTCCCAGTGTCCCACTGTGGCCTCCTCCGCCGCCCTCAGCTGGGAATCTACGTGGCTGTAGCAGACGTGGAAGAGATGTTTGAACTCCTCCAGGGTCAGAGGCTCCTGCTGTGCGCTCGTCATCACTGGGACAAATGCCTCCCAGTGGGACTGTACCGTATCCCACAATCCACCACAGCTGTTCATCCCCTCGGTGAACTGGGAGATCATACTGGCCACCCTGACAGACAGACAGACAGAGGGACTCAGTTAGACAATAAGAATCTTTTCTCATGTTTTAAATATTGTTCGTTCTTTGTTGATCTATTGCACTTCTGTCTGTCTGATGAGTAAATTCAAACATATTTTAGAGGCTGGTATCGATGAGTGTGTCCAGTTTCGTGCAGATCCTACTGAGTGCCCTCCTACTGTATGTGTGTGTTTGTGTGTGTGTGTGTGTGCATGTACCTGTGGTAGATGTAGTGTTTGACCAGGCCCACGTAGATGGCTGGTATTTGATCGGAACCGGCTGAATAGATCCCAGGGATCCCGCAGCTCGATACCCAGTCACACAGATTGGGAGACAGCAGCTTCACATCAGTACAACTCTGCAGCTGGAAGACGAACATTATTTATATTCTTATACTGGTTCTACACGTGCAACAATAAGAACTGAGTGTTTTCATTTTCAAGTTGCACATTAACATTTGTATTGAAGTGTGGGTGTCTGTGTGTGTGTGTGTGTGTGTGTGTGTGTGGGGGGGGGGTACCTGTTGCAATCGCTGCTGCACTTCAGCATCAACAATGTCTGCAGAACTGAAATCCTCCAAAGATGGATTGCGGCCACACATCAACTGTTAATACATTGTTTAAAATACATTACAAAAGAGACCATGAGAGCTCAGTTACACTCTGACGTGATAACCACTGTGAAACTTTTTTTTTT